GAAAAAAAAGTAAGCCAAACAAAACTAAGCAGGTGAAGGAATATTACTTTAACATTAGGAATATTCTCTGCATATGTGTTCTTATCCACACTCTAGTTACACACACTTTTTTCAAAACACATTTTAAAGACCTTGCAAAAGATGTTACAAAGCAGCAGAATAAAGTTATATATAATTGTTATAATTCATACTACTTATCCAGAGCTTGCTATTTATAATGGAGAATGCAGAGAACCCAGTAATTTCAATTTATTATTCAACTACAATAATTTTCAGTACCCACCTAAGTTAACGACCCTGGAAAATGTTAACACATATTTCCTTGTTTCAGTAGTTATTCTGTCCCATAACTGTCGTGATATTCTCTCTGCTGAGAATAGCAGAGTTGCTTCATCTATCATTCACTAGACAAAGTTTTTAAATAAAGATATTGCAATCCCCCTCTCAGGACTATTTTATTATTATTGAAAATTTGATTATGAAAATTTCATTAAATATATGAACTTGAACAAGAAACTCTGTTTGACAAAAGATAACTTTCAACTGAAGCACTAGCTCAAGAAGCATATTTTAAATGTGTTCATTGAGTTATTTCATACAATATAGAAGCACTTAGGGCACTGGGCATTAAAAAAGCTAGAACAAATAACATTAAAGTCACTGAAAAAAATTTGCTATTTATACAGTAGATTATTTTGAGGTGGATTAGTTGCAACGATTGTAAATAAACTCTTGTGAACAAACTAAACTTATAGTAGTCCAAAATTCCATCTATTTCCTTCATGTTATTTTATTCAAGCTTTTTACTAATGACAAACAAAAGACTAACAACTTGTTGCATATATTCAGCATTGTTCTGAGAACATCAGAAAAATCTACTTGACAGTATACTGTGCTTCTACCCCTAAAAATTAATTTGGTATAGATATTGAGAAAGTAGTACAACATTGAAGTACAAACAAAACATCAGATTAACAAGATGGGACCGTGTCTTGTTCTGATGTGAAGGTAGTATGTTACCTATGCAATACGGTCTCTGCCTTTTTCACTAGAGCACATGGCAATTAATAGCACTTTGCATTCATTCATAGGGCTCTATGTACAAGTGCAGCAACACAAATTAATACCTTCTGCTTATCTTCATTTACACACAAAATGAAGTGAAAAAAACCACCACTTACTTGCTTTTCCCTTTGTATACTGTAGCATAGGACCCTTCCCCTAGTTTTTCCAGTTTTTCATATGAGTCTGCTTTTCCAAACTTGGGGCTTGTAGGCTAAACAAAACAAAAAAAGATGACCTTTCAGCATGTATTGTACTCACAACATTAACTGCTTTGATTCAGCCTTTAGAGACTAAGCGTCATTATCAAAACTCATAAACATGCATGTTTTCAGCAGCCAATAATGAAAAAAAATTAATAGCAGAGGTAACGAAACAATATACTAGGCTACTCACATAAAACATCATTCAACACCCCACATGGTGGTTGTCAATATAAACCATACACTTACATCACTGGAATTATCAAAAAGATTTTGTTCTTAATCAAAAGACATTTCTGCTTTATTTTTCACCTACATCACTTCATACAGGGAAAAAGATCATTAACAACTAAGCCATCTTGTCTTTGTTAAGAGATCTAAGCAACAGTCTTAGTCTGCCCTACAAAAATCAGATTAAAAGAGCTGTTTAATTTTATTTTTTTTTATTTTTTATTTTTAGGTTAAAGGACCCAAAAACATTGCTCTAAGTAGTCAATGCTCTGGTACATCAACCATTGCTCAGACAGCGGTCAAAACAGTACAGGAAAGTATCTTTAATCAGAGTATCTTGATTCTGAATTATGTTTACAGTCTTCAGATTGTGGATATAATCACACCATACTTTTAATGGCAGGTATACACAGCATAGTTGAATAAAGTCCTGTAGCCTTAATATCTGCAGCCCAAGTGAGGGGTCTAAAAATGAACCAAGCTAAGCAATGACTCTTGCTCAACGGACCAGATAGCTCAGCGGGCCTTTGCAACAGACTGGTACTTGCCCTACTTTTATACAGTCCTAACAGAGAACACCACAATGCTACAAAACCAGAAATTCACTTGACATGAAAACTTTCCAATTAAGTTCTTGGAAAATGTTTAAGTTTTTTGAAGTGCATCACATTTTCCCAAATGTCCCCATTTTCCAGTTGTCTGGAAGGAATGGGCTTTTTATTTTTCCACCAAGACCAGAAGGACACTGCAAAAAACTGACCTGCAGCTGCCCTTAGCATTATCTACATATATTTTAGACTGTAGTGCTCAGATGTCCTGTACCTAGACCAACCAAAGGAGTATAGAGCAGAAACTTTGGAGGGTCAGCACTGATGCTCAAATCACTTACAGGGACTGTTTGGTTAGTACTCTGGTTATAACACTACAAAGAAAAGCAGTCAAGCAAATCCAGCAAGTTTAGGGTTGAATTCAACTGAGAGAGACTAAACCTTGCACAGCTGCACCCAGTGTACACTCACATTTAGGATCTTAGGCCTGATTTACAAAAAGTACTCAAGTTTCAGTTTTTTTGAAAGGAAAAAAACATTACAGTACAGGACACATCTGTGTCTAAATTCCTTTAAAACCATGGCTGAAAGTTTTAAATCAACTGAGCATAAAATTTCCTTCTATTTAAACAGACAAGAGCATCACAGGTAAGATGACTTGGTACCTCATACCTCTCCACTACACCCAATTAACCATTAGCCAGAAAATGAAAAAATTCTCTTCACTCAACTATACTACATTTGCTCTGAGCCAAAATTCTTGCACTTTGGCATATATACACCTCTTTTGAGACTAACATCCCAGCTTTCTGTTGAATGGTATCAGGATATACACATATATGTTTGCAAAATTGAGCCCTTTCATCTCCCTCTAATACACAGAACAACCTATTATTTTGCTATCCAATTCCTAAATATTAATAGACTGATGAAAATTTGTCATATGGGAACTCTCAGATCTTTTTCCTGTTACATTATTTGGAACACTTCATTATAGATAAGGCAGTAATATTCTCAGTTCCCAATCTGTGTTCATTCTGCCTGGTTAGAAATTAATTTTTTTCTTTTTTTTTAATCACAGTTTTATTACAGATGTTACTAATAGAGGTGATGAAAATATTTATTTAAGTAGCCTTCTCATTTAAGTATCCAATAAAGGACTAATGCAACACTACAAAACTATAGAAAAAAAGTGTTTAGATGTTTAAGTGTCTCCCATATAATGAAGAGAGATAGCAAAGTATTTCCCAAATTACAGGCTGCAGTAAAGACACAGTGAGTAGTTTTGTTTGAAGAGGAAATGCTGCCCTAGTTAACAGTGAATAATTCACTGTTGGTTTCCTCATAACGAGGAATAAAAAGGACAGGGTTTATACACGTGTTTCACATCCATTCTTATTTTCACACTGAGATTTACTTTTATTTTATACCACTGGAAACCATAATATAAAGGTCACAACAACTTGTAATGCCTTAAGATCTTGATAGGAAACAGGATGCCTTTAATCCATTACCACACAGTAAATCATCAACAGTGATTATTCCTACAACCTCAAGCTCATTGCACCATACTCCGGCTGCCAGCAGCACAGATTTAAGGTCATGCCTTTTGACTCATTCTCCTCCTGGAAGCCGCTGCATCCTAACCAACAACGGGCAAAACATTAAAAGCTCGTATTGGCGGGACTGGGAAGAGAGCTCACCCTAATCATACAAAAGAGGTGCTGGTTTCAATTGTCTTGTCCTCAGGGGCAACACCACGCAGTGCCCCAGGGCTCAGCTCTGCAGCAGTAGGGCTGACCTGCCACCCTCCCCAAGCAGCCCAAATCACTTGTCCACTGCCTGCTCATGTTGGGTAAGACCAGAGCAGAAACAATCAGAAAACCAACCTGTTACCCACCACCTGTCCCATACCCAGTAAAACCACGTGGCTGATACCCTCCTCTCTCCAGGTTACAGCACCAGGTTACCGCAGCGGAGCTCAGCTCTATTCCAACTGGGTCACCAGATGGGATTGCCCATGTTCTCACACTATTAGATCTTCCTTTGGGAAAATGGACATTACTTTTTCCTTGCATTTGTAATCTTAGGCTTACAGTTTTTGAAGGTATCTGGTGTAGAAAAGCACTTCAGAAGATTTTACCAAAAAAATTTTTAATACTTTCTCAGGCAGTAGAAGACTTTGGAAACTAATTTGCATGGTATTTCTTAACAAAACACCAAGACAGATCTCACTGAGCACTCAATTATTTTAGAAAATGAAGGAACAAATTTACCATTTCCCCAACCTTTTCACAATTTTTTTTTTAAATTAAGTCCTCCACATTAATTCAAACTTACAATTACAAATTGCTTATGAAATTAAGAAGTTCAGCCATTTCCTACTTTTCCTTTTATTTCTGGATTATAAAAGAGGTGAAGACTGACTGAGATAATGCAAAAATACAAACCTTTCCAAAACTTAAGTTATAAGCTTAAAGGGATCTAAATAAAGGGCTATGGAAGGGATCCAAATAATTTGAAGTTCCATGTGACTGCTGAAAATTATAACCATTTCAGCCGACTTTATTATTGCACTCCCCCTTTCATATAGTTATTTTTCCAGCTTCATGGCCATGAATTTTGTTATTCAGACTTCTCCATATTAGTTTATCTTATTCAACCACTTCTCTTAATAAAAATATGCCTTTTTACAGCAAGATTACGGTACCAATTTTTTTTTATTTTTTTTTTTTTAGCAAATGCTTGTATTAAAATCAAATATAGAAAATTCACTTTCAAGTATAATTTATCCCTTTAAAGTATTTTATTCCTTCCAGTAAAATATATGGGAATACATATACATAGAGATTTGTGTTTGCTGAGTCACAAGAGTCCCATATTCTGCCTAGGGTGTGGTTGACTGAAATATAGTGAGTGAGACATATCCAGAGCACGTCAGAGGTACCAGTGCTTGCATCAGCTACTGACTTATCTCACAAGCAGCAGACTCACAAGAAGTTCCCTTGTACTTAGAAAGCTGGTGCAATCCTCGAATTTGACCCAGACAAGATTTCTCAACAGAAAAGAGTACTAATTTTAGCTGAATTTCAGCTAATTATAGCTGAATGCACATATTTTGATAAATGTTTGTTCAAAGCTACTTTTTGAAGATCTAACAGTACAATACTTGTATCACTACAAATTTCCCTTTCTTCTCACTCCTCCTTACCGCTTTTCAACCCTCTAAGACATTGACATAGAATCAGAGAATCGTTTAGGTTGGAAACGACCTGTAAGATCATCAAGTCCAACTGTAAACCCCACACTGACAAGTCCACCACTACATCATGGCCCTAAGTGCCACATCTACACATCTTTTAAACCCCTCCACGGCTGTGTGGCTCCACCACTTCCCTGGGCAGCCTGTTCCAGTACTTGACAACCCTTCCAGTGAAGAAATTCTTCCTAATATCCAATCTAAACCTCTCCTGTTGCAACTTAAGGCTGTTTCCTCTTGTCCTATCACTCATTACTTGGGAGAAGAGACTGACCCCCACCTCGCTACACCCTCCTTTCAGGTCGTTGTAGAGAGCAATCAGGTCTCCCCTCAGACTCCTCTTCTCCAAGCTGAACAACCCCAGCTCCCTCAGTCGCTCCCCATCAGACTTGTGCTCCAGGCCCTTCACCACCTTCGTCGCCCTTCTCTGGACTCACTCCAGCACCTCAAGGTCTTTCTTGTAGTGAGGGGCCCAAAACTGAACACAGCACTCGAGGTGCGGCCTCACCAGTGCCCAGTACAGGGGGATGATCACTTCCCTGGTCCTGCTGGCCACACTATTTCTGATACAGGCCAGGATGCCATTGGCCTTCTTGGCCACCTGGGCACACTGCTGGCTCATGTTCAGCCAGCTGTCAACCAAAATATGTCATGACATAATGTGACTGTGACAAAAGGACAATCTTTGCCATGTCTGAAAACTGGTTATTTACTGAATGTGTACATTTTTTGTTTAGTTAATTAAAGCCTTGAAATCTTTTCTACTAAAACGTTATCATTATTTGTTGGATATATATGCCAAAGGGAGATCTCCTCCCTTTGGCCACACAGACTTGTATATACTGAACATCAATGGGACTACTTAGGTGTAAAGAAGCCTGTTGCTCAGTGTTAGAGCTTTGTTTTTGCTACAAAAAAAGAACTTTCAAAGCTAAGAAAAAAATAAAACACAGGTGCATGTGTGACCAAGACT